ATTCAGATTTTCTATTTCTTGAGTGAATTTTCAAAGTTACATAATTTTTAGAAAATTATCCATTTCATTTAAAACAGAAATTTACTGAAAAAATAATCCCTTGAAATAGAAGCACAAGTGCTGTATCTGTAGTTAGTTATGTTCCCTTTTGTGTTTCCTACTTTTTGTGTACCTGCGTGCATGCCTTTTGTTAAATGGGTTTTACTGTCATTAGAATATTTGTAAGAAATCAGTTTCTGGTTCTGTTGAACCTTTTTTTCTGTTTTCTTCCTTTTTAATTAATGTCTGCTTTTGTCTTTGTTATTTTCTTCTTTCATCTTTCTTAGTGGGTCTTTTTATTCTTTTCCTAGATTCTGAAACTGAATACAACTAATTCATTTTGTTTGTTCTTCAATGCTTGCACTGTGAACTCCCTCTTACCTGCTTCTTTAGGAACCACCATCATTTCCAGAGTCTATGTTCTGCTTTGTCAGGTCTGTCTGACCATGGGAGTTATTTATAGAAATGATTTCAGAAATGAATGTTCATCTTTGGAGACTGAGAATGGAGATTCAGAGAAGTGAATGAGGTCATCAGGTAGACTTTTATTAATAGCAACTTCTATTAGGATCTTGCTTGTACTCAGTTTTATTTGAAAAAGTGTGCTTCCTCCCTTGCTGCCAATCCTTCCACCTGCTCACTGGAGTCCGTCCGCTCCAGCTTCCTCAGTGACAGTGACCTCACTTTGTCCGTTGTCCCTTATTGCTATATTTAGAAACTTTCCCTCTATTCCAGCTTTTTCTCCTGACACGTTTATTTCTTCCATCTTTAAAACAGCCCCCCTTGATTTTACATCCCCCTTCTAACTACTGTCCCCTCTTTCTCCTTCCTACTTGCAGTTGCAGATAAAGCCTCTGGAGAGAGGCCTCTGTTCAGTCTTACGTCCCAGCAATTCTCTCCTGAACCAGTTTTTAGGTTTCTGCCCATACAGCCGCACTAAAACTCTCTCATCAAGGCCACCAGGGACTCCCTCGTTGCCAGGTCCAGCAGATGCCATCCAATCCCTGTTCTACTCAGCTTTGTTGTGGCCGTTGGGTTGTTGAGCACTCCCTCCTCTTTGATTTTGTGTTTGAGACAGAGTCTCGCTGTTTCGCCCAGGCTGGAGTGCAGTGGTGCGATCTCGGCTCACTGCAACCTCCGCCTCCTGGGTTGAAGCGATTCTCGTGCCTCAGCCTCCCGAGTAGCTGAGACTACAGGTGCCTACCACCATGCCCAGCTGAATTAGTATTTTCAGTAGAGACCGGGTTTCACCATGTTGGCCAGGCTGGTCTTGAACTCCTGACCTCAGGTGATCTGACCGCCTCGGCCTCTCAAAGTGCTGGGATTACAGGCATGAGCCACTGTGCCCGGCCCTCGCGAACCTTTAAATGCTCTTGTTCGCCATGACTCTGATCCTTTTCTCACTCTACACGTTCTTTCTTGGCAATATCATCCACTTTGAAATGTTGTCTCCCAAATCTACAGTTTTAGGCCAGAGCTCTCCTGAGGCAAAGACCTCAGTATTCAGCTGCCTGTTGGACCTCTTCACCTGCATGTTCCACAGCACCTCAAAGGAACATGACCAATATGGAACACAGTGTCTTCTTTCCCAAATCTATTCCTCCTGTTTTCTCCCCTGCCTTGGTAAATGGCCCCACATCCACCTAACCCCCAAGCCAGAAATCTAGGTGTTATTTTGAATTCCTTCTTCCTTACCCTGAATATTCAGCAGTTGTAATCTTTTTTTTTTTTTTTTTTTGAGACAGAGTCTCACTCTTATTGCTCAGGCTGGAGTGCAGTGGCACAATCTCGGCTCACTGCAATCTCTGCCTCCTGGGTTCAAGCGATTGTCCTGCCTCAGCCTCCCCAGTAGCCGGGATTACAGGTATGTGCCACCACCACACCTGACTAATTTTTGTATTTTTTTTTTTTTTTGAGACGGAGTCTCGCTCTGTCGTCCAGGCTGGAGTGCAGTGGCGCAATCTCGGCTCACTGCAAGCTCTGCCTCCCGGGTTCACGCCATTCTTCTGCCTCAGCCTCCCATGTAGCTGGGACTACAGGTGCCCGCCACTGCACCCGGCTAATTTTTTGTATTTTTAATAGAGACGGGGTTTCACCATGTTAGCCAGAATGGTCTCGATCTCCTGACCTCGTGATCCACCCGTCTCGGCCTCCCAACTAATTTTTGTATTTTTAGTACAGATGGGGTTTCACCACGTTGATCAGGCTGGTCTTGAACACCTGACCTCAGGTGATCCACCCGCCTCAGCCTCCCAAGGTGCTGGGATTACAGGTGTGAGCCACCGTGCCCAGCCGGCAATTGGAATCTTAATGCCACCGAAGTTTTTATGCATGGCCTCTCTTCTCCATTCTTACTGCCTTGGTTGAAGTACTCTGCTCTATGTCTTAGTCTGTTTTGTGCTGCTATAACAAGATACCTGAACCTGGGTAGTTTATAAAGAACAGACATGTATTTCTCACACTCCTGGAGGCCAGGAAGTTCAACATCAAGGCACTGGCAGGTTGGCTTGTATGGTGAGGGCTGCTCTCTTTCCAAGACAGTGCTGTGTTGGTGAAGGGCAGAAGGCAAGCGAGTCAAGTGCTGCTGCATGAAGCCTTTCATAAGAGCTCTAACTCCATTTGTGAGGGAGAAGCCATCATGACCTAATGACCTCTTAAAACCATCACCTTGGCCATTAAGTTTCAACAGAAGAATCTGGAGGGAACACATTCAAATCATAGCATTCTATCACTGTGGTCAATGCAGAGGTCTCCCAACTAGTCTTTCCAGTTTTATCTCCTTTTCGCTATCCATTACAATCTCTGGTTTTATTTCCCTTTCCCTATCCATTCCTATCTATTTTTTTTTCTTAGAGACAGGGTCTTGCTCTATCACCCAGGCTGGAGTGCAGTGGTGCAATTATAACTCATTGTAGCCCTGAACTCCTGGGCTCAAGAGATCTTCCGCCTTGGCTTCCCAAAATTCTGGGATCACAGGCGCGAGCCACCACGCCCAGCCCCAGTCTATTTTCTATGTGACTGTCAGAATAATATTCTACGTTGCAAATCTGAGCATGTTATCCCCCTGCTTTAAATCCCTCATTAACTCCCCTTTGTTAAAAGTCCAAAATTCTTAGCATGAAATACAAGACCCTCAGTCATCTGTCCCTGGCTCAAGCCTCCATAATTATCTTTTACTTTTCTCCCCTCAAACCTTGCATCCTTATCTTAGTCCTTTTGTGCTGCTATAACAAAATACCTAAGCCTGGATAATTTATAAACAGCTTAAATTTACTGCTAATGGTTATGGAGGCTGGGAAGTCCAAGATTAAGGTGCTGACAGTTTCACTGTCTGGTGAGGGCCTGGTCTCTACTTCCAAAATGGTACCTTAAATACTGCTGCTTCTGGAGTGGACGAACACCATGTCCTCACATGGGGGGAGGGACAGAAAGGCAAAAGGGCCTAACCAGTTCTCTCTAGTACTTTTAAAAGGGCAGTAATCCATTCACCAGGGCACAGCTCTCGTAACTTAATCACTTCCCAAAAGGCCCCACCTCTTAATACTATCACATTGGGTCTTAAGTTCTTTTTTTTTTTTGAGACCGAGTCTTGCTCTGTTGCCCAGGCTGGAGCACAGTGGCGTGATCACGGCTCACTGCAAGCTCCGCCTGCTGGGTTCATGCTATTCTCCCGCTTCAGCCTCCGGAGTAGCTGGGACTACAGGTGCCCGCCACCATGCCTGGATAATTTTTTTGTATTTTCAGTAGAGACGGAGTTTCACTGTGTTAGCCAGGATGGTCTCGATCTCCTGACCTTGTGATCCACCTACCTCGGCCTCCCAAAGTGCTGGGATTACAGGCGTGAGCTACCACGCCCGGCCTTAAGTTCTAACATATGAATTTTGAGCAGACACATACATTCAAACCACAACAATCCCAATAATGAATTCTAGTTCCCAGAATATGCGACTCTGCCTTCCTGCTCACTATCTTATCTGGCTGTCTCATCCTCTGAAATCCAGGTCAGAGGCTTCCTACTCCTCACTATCCTCCCTTACCATCAGACTATGTGCCTCGCCTGCCTGCTCTCACAATGCATGTCTGTTCTTAACCCTTGTATTGTGATTGTTATCCTATATCTCCTTGAGGGCAGTGACGTGGTATTTTTTTTCTCTCTGGCTTCAGCTCTTATCACAGTGCTTAGTGGGTAGGCATAAATGTCTATGACATGAAAAAATGTTCTCAGCTGCCAGAGTAGTCTGGAGCAATGAAATAATTCAAGGACCATTCTCGGTGTTTGAATACATGCACAATTTGATGGGCTCCCACCAAGTTTCTTGAAACCAGGAATTAGAAGAGCAAATGAAATATCATTTTAGGAAAGCTAAAATCCAGCCTAATTATAGATTAGAAACAATTCAAGTTTAGGCCAGGCGTGGTGGGTCACGCCTGTAATCCCAACACTTTGGGAGGCTGAGAAGGGCAGATCACTTGAGTTCAGGAGTTTAAGACCAGCCTGGCCAACATGATGAAACCCTGTCTCTACTAAAAATACAAAAATTAACTAGGCATGTTGGCACATGCCTGTAATCTCAGCTACTGGGGATTACTTTGGGAGAATCACTTGAACCCAGGAGGCAGAGGCTGCAGTGAGCTGAGATCAAGCCACTGCACTTTAGCCTGGGTGACAGAGCGAGACTCTGTCTCAAAAAATTAAAAAATAAAACACAACTACCAAATGCAACAAGGGTGGGAGGAAGACTAAACTATATTACCTTGAAAAGTCCTGACAACAGACTTCTTAGTTTTCAAAGTGACACCCTGATTCCCTGACCTAGCATCCTTTAATAGCGCTGACTCTGGATCTCTGTGCTCACTTTCCTTAGACCACTCCAGCTATCAATGGGTCTCACCATCTAAAGTTAAATTTAAAATCTATCAATTCCCTAGCCTCCACCCAATGTGTGAAGGATTAAACAGAATCAGGCATCAATATTTATTAACACAAGACAAAGGAAACACATTCAATGAGTTAATAGAACACTGTCCAGCCAGATGTTAAATTTAAAAATGTATATCTAGTCTAACTTCAAATAAATAAAAAAACTTTATACATAATTACACAGTACTGTAGTTTGAATTTGACACGGGTAAATATCTTGACAGAAAGTAAACAAAACAGCATTTAGGACTAAAAAATTATTCTTGTATCTTTACAGTCTCTTCCTCTGGACAAATAACATGGCCCATCTACATACACCTAAACCAGAAATGCTGTATGAATGATAAAGAAAAGGCCTATTGTGTATTTGGAGTACTGCAGCTTCTTGCTCCAAATACTGTTGCTTTTACATCAAAGCAGACAACAAAAACAACACTAAGGCATAGATCTTGTTGGAGTTTGAGGATGAGGTGATAACTCCTCATTGCTTTAGTCTAAAAGATTCCTGGATATTCAAGGAAAGTAATTTATTTGGCCAAGATATAGAGCACCATGCCTGGGGCAGAGACCTTAATAGAAAACCTAAGGCCTCGGCCCTTGTTGAGTCAACAAAAGCATTAAGCAAGCATTGCCCAGGGACTAAAGTAAGGAGACAGACTCAAGTGACCAAGACAGGCAATGGTCCCTAAACAGCCTGAGGCAACACAACTTCATGAGGAAAGGACCTGGCACTGGGGAGACCTGGCCCTTTGTGAGGCAGGAAGTAAAGACTGTGGATTCACTGATGCTGATTAGCATGCTGGTCCTTCCCAGGGTCTCAGTGAATTCCTAGGGCCTAGGAATTTTCCTGAGGCAGCCCCTTCCTGATCTACTTCAGTTACTTCTGCTGAGAACTAGAAAGAGGTTCAGAAACCTTCAGACCAAGAGATTTCTCTTAACTGAGACAGGGGCTTGTTTAGTTTTTTTCCACAGACATTAAAAACCCAGACAGAATATGTTCCAGAGGATTGGAAAGGCTGTGTTTCTATTAGTAATGGCCTTTCAGGCCTGCCTTAAGAATCAGTTCCACCACAAAAGTGCTACTTAATGTGGATAGAGAAGGAGCACTGTGTCATCAAGAGAAGATTTTCTTACTCGAGTCTGTGGCACAGTAGACTTTAAATCTGCAGGTCATCCCACAAACACCATCTAAGCAAATGACTGGGTTCTCCTCTCCCTCCACAGGATGCTTTCCCAGAGTTACTGATGAAGTTCCTCAAGGACAGTTCTTAGCCTTCCTTCCTCCATGAGCAGATTCTGGCTTTGGGGGACATGCAAAAAAATCAATAAAGCAGAAAGCAAAAAGTAAATTAGAGGCCTGAGGAACTACAAAACTAGATAATCAGCCTCTAAGTAACTGGGAGTTGGCCACACTTTGAGATTAACGGAGTAATGTATTTGAAGGAATGAGTATACATCTGCACTGTCTAATATGATAGCCACTAGTCACATTTGGCTACAAAGACTTGAAATATGGCGATGGTTTGGACTGAGATGTGTTTAATGCACACTGAATTTCAAAGGCCTAATATGAAAAAAAGTAAAATACCTCATTAATAATTTTTATATTGATCCTATGTTGAAATGATAGTGTTTTCGAGCTATTGGGTTGAATAAAATATATTTAAATCAATACCATGGGTTTCTTTTTATTTTTAAAAAATGTGGTTACTAGAAAAATTTAATTACAGATGTGGCTCTCATTATAGTATTTACAGTGGACCATGCATCTCTAGATGCCTATACCCTAATCTGTGTTAGTAAGAATTATCAAAGCAACCCACAGAATAGCATCTAACCATAACTTTTAGAACTTGGGGATTATAGAGCTAGACTTATTTATATTAGCTTCAGGATCCCCTGCTTTGTTTAGTGAATCATTAAAAATGGTTTTAAGAAAATTACTTTCCAAGTATCAGGCTGTGTTCTCTGCAAACCAAACCATCGCTAGACACTGGGATTTCCTGGGTGCCCCAATGTAAGTGCTTTTTTTTCTGTCCATCCTAGGACTTCCCTCATCACGTGTAAATTAATTCCATCGAAATGCTGAAAAAGAGATCTGGAACTGGCAAATGTCCTGAGCTCTGCCCTCTGTGGAGGAGTGGGGAGGAAAAGAGGATTACGTGAAGGGAGTCACAAAGTGGCTTTTAGTCAGAAGGCCGGGTAATGGCAGCCCCAGAGCACTGCCACCGCAAAGGAGCTGGTCTTTGCATTATAAACCTTATTTTCAGGGTAATTACAAGTCTTAAAAATTGTTTAAAAACATACTTAGTTTACATGATGTTACAGTGGGGTAAATAATATGTATTACTAAAATAGTCTAAATATTTACACAATAGACCAGAGTGGGTCAAAGAGAACCATTCTGCTTTAACAAGTTAACTCTTTTCACTTTTGAGTACTTTTTTGTTTTTAAAAATATTTCTGTTAAGAAAAAAATAATAAGATTTAACTATATTCAAATACATGAAGTATCAGACCAAAGAAAGGAAACCGAGTCAGAGGCCAAACTCAGTCCTGTCTCACTCTGCTTGGCCTGGGCACCACAGTTATTTCAAAAGAATTTCCTGCATACGTCAGACTTCCCCGGTTTCAGCATAAGCCTGGCTGCTTTGGCAACCCAGATTGGTCAGTTTTGTGTAGTTATATGGCCTTACAGTTCCATGTGACGGTGGATCCCCACTGCCTTCCTGGCCTATCATTCTTGTTTTAAACCCCCTGCCCTCATGAACTGGAAGAACAGAGGACACTCCTCAGTTTTCAGAAAAGAGAAGTTATATGGATAAACTGTAGACACAGTTTACAATGGGCCTGGAAAAGAGGAAATCCTGAATTCTTACATAGTCACTCTAAATCTGAAAGATCGTTTTAAAACTGGGGCCAGAGTAAGTTATCGTGGTTCCTTAGAATAGGGTGGGCTCTGATGAATCTTAGCTTTGTGTTAACATTTTGATTTTTAAACTGAGATTTTCAGCTTTTAGAAACAAGCTGAATTCATAGAAGCCTAAGCTGATTCCGGGAATGCGAGCTTTAAAAACAAACATAGGCAGCTCTAGTTTATAAAATATACCAGCCAACAAAGACATAGAACAATGTGCAGCAAAACCTGCCAACAATTTGCACTTTTTAGTCACCTAATCAATTACACAACATTAAGAGAATATTGAAATTCTCTCAAAGTAGAAATGTTTCTACTGTGGTTGTTATAACTAGACAAGCCAATTCTTCAAATCTCTACCTGAATTATGTGTATTCTTATGTACATGTTGTAAGACACTGGTCAAAATGTTTTACAGTCAATAATTATCTATATAAAGTAATTCTCATAGTCAGTGGGTTATCTGATTTGCTTATGGGTTGACTGAAAGAAAGCTGAGTAGTTCCATGTTAACAAACCCCACAGAACATCTAGCTACGGCAGAATGGCAAATACAGTACGGAGTGGGGAACTGTGTCACTCAGACTACCCCTTTCATGTGAATTCATTAAATTCTCTTAGAAAATTCTAAAACGGCATTAGATAAAAATACAAGTATGTACAACAGATGAAAAAAATGCAACATGCATGTAATTGCTTTAGTAACGTGCTGCTCACGCTATATCAAAGCACATGTCTACCAAATGTTAACATTTTTTTCATTTGCCCGCACAGAATTCCCCTTTCCTGTGTGTTTTATGATTGCAGAATCCCACAGGATGAGATGAAGAATATCATGTAGCCATCTCAGCTTATTTCACATCGTTTGAAAGCCTGCTCCTAGCCAGAGGTCTTCTGTCTTTGTGATTCTTCAGAATGGCCCCCTGCAGTCCCCACAAAGCTCGTTACATGTTATAAGCCACGTAGATGGGGTCTAACTGGTCAGCTAGGAAGCTATCACGGAGGTGCATCCTCTGCTTCTCTCCTCTGGAGTTGATCGGGATGACGCCTGGATCCACCACAACCACGACGCCAACGATGAGGTAATGCTCTTCCAGGACCACGTTGGTCACTAACGGGACCAGATCTAGGGCTTCCTGTTCAGAGCCGCACAGTTCCACAACCACCACAAGCAAGTTGGTCCACGTAAACACGGCACTGAAATTTCAATGACAGTTCATTAACTTGTCACTACATTTTTCAGTTATTTTTTATAGCATCTGTCCCAGACTTAGCCCATTTCCCCGCCTTCTCCCCTCGATCCCAACCAGAAGGTCAGCAGTCATGTCTACAATATATGACACCTTTTAACTTCACCTGATAAGACCGAGGGAAAAATTATATAATGAATATATATATAGATATATGAGAGACACCTTGCCCCTGTGAACACAGCTGAGTAGTGGTCCAGAATCTCCTGGGAGTTTGAAAGTGTAATTTAAAGTCATTAGGCCAGGCGTGGTGGCTCACGTCTATAATCTCAGCACTTTGGGAGGCTGAGACGGGCAGATCACCTGAGGTCAGGAGTTCGAGACCAGCCTGGCCAACATGGCGAAATCCTGTCTCTACTAAAATACAAACATTAGCCAGGTGTGATGGCGGGCACCTCTAGTCCCAGCTACTCAGGAGAGGGAGGAGAATAATTTGAACCCAGGAGGTGGAGGTTGCAGTGAGCCAAGTTTGAGCCACTGTACTCCAGCCTGGGCAACAGAATGAGATTCTGTCTCAAAAAAAGAAAAAAAAAATTGTTAACTGGTCATTTGAACCAATGACATGGATTTGAATATTCTGGGGTAGCCAGGAGCATGGAGCAGAGAGAATCCCTCTTCAGGAAGGTGAAAAAGAAAGAAGGGAAAGCCCATATGGCTCTAGAAAGTAAGGGGACAGTGGTTCCTGACAGCCTTACCATTCCCTTGTTTCTACCTTTCCTGAGACCCAGAGTTAGTTTTTTTTTGGCACTTCTGAGATAGCCAGGTATTCTTTCACTTAAGCTTTTCTGAAGGGAGCCTGTTATTTGCCCCATAAGAGCTTTGACTAATATAATATTCCTCTGTTTTTTTAGACTAGTCAAGTGCAGTAGTGAGAAAGAGGGAAAGAGTGGAACGAAAGAGTTTGATTGGTTTGTAATTGACTATGAACAATCAATTGAATTAACTCACTACCTTCAGACCACCCTAAGGCAGTATTCTTAAACCCAACAGGAAGAGAGTCTGTCTGACTCACATGAGTTATTGGTGCCCCACGCGCAAGTGTCTCCTATTGTGTAAAAGGACCATAAGCCACTTTCCACTGGGTGGAGTTACTGGGTTAGAAGGTAGGGCCTGCCGGGCGCGGTGGCTCAAGCCTGTAATCCCAGCACTTTGGGAGGCCGAGACGGGTGGACCACGAGGTCAGGAGATCAAGACCATCCTGGCTAACACAGTGAAACCCCGTCTCTACCAAAAAAATACAAAAAACTAGCTGGGCGAGGTGGCGGGCGCCTGTAGTCCCAGCTACTCAGGAGGCTGAGGCAGGAGAATGGCGTAAACCCGGGAGGCGGAGCTTGCAGTGAGCTGAGATCCGGCCACTGCACTCCAGCCTGGGTGACAGAGCGAGACTCTGTCTCACAAAAAAACAAACAAACAAAAACAAATTCCAATAATTAAAAAAGTACACAATATTGGCCAGGCGCGGTGACTCATGCCTGTAATCCCGGCACTTTGGGAGGCCGAGGCGGGCGGATCACCTGAGGTCAGGAGTTCAAGACCAGCTTGACCAACATGGAGAAACCCCCTCTCTACTAAAAATACAAAATTAGCCGGGCGTGGTGGCACACACCCGTAATCCCAGCTACTAGGGAAGCTAAGGCAGGAGAATCCCTTGAACCTGGGAGGCGGAGGTTGCAGTGAGCCAAGATTGCACCATTGCACTCCAGCCTGGGCAACAAGAGCGAAACTCTGTCTCAAAAAACAAAACAAAACAAAAAAAACAAACCCCCACAAAAGTACACAATTACACAATATCTGGTTCTATTAAGAGTCAAATGTCTAAAATGACAAAGTAACCACGGCACCCAGCTTCTCTGGATGCTTTCCAGATGTCTAAAGATGTTCTTGTCTTGGTCAGAATCTTGTTCAGGTCTAGGGAGAGACTCCGACAAAGACAAGAGCATCTTTTTTTTGAGACAGTTTCCCTCTGTTGCCCAGGCTGGAGTGTAGTGGCGCGATCTTGGCCCACTGCAACCTCCGCCTCCCAGGTTCAAGCAATTCTCAGCCTCCCGAGCAGCTAGGATTACAGGCGCCCACCACTGCACCCAGCTAATATTTGTATTTTTAGTAGAGACAGGGTTTTGCCATGTTGGCCAGGCTGGTCTTGAACCCCTGACCTCAGGTGATCCACCCACCTCAGCCTCCCGAAGTGCTGGGATTACAGGCGTGAGCCACCACTTCCGGCCAACAAGAGCATCTTTAGACAAAGAAGTATCTGGAAAGCATGAGCAACCATCGAAAGAACTGTGGCTGTTTAGCATGGGGAAAAGTGGGGACACATTCACTAAAATATGTAGAAAACAAACCAAACAGATTCTGTATTGGTTAAGAACCCAGAATGAAAGCCAATAGGTAAACACTACAGAGATTTTTTTGTTGTTGTTATTTTTTTGAGACAGTCTCAGTCTGTCACCAGGGCTGGAGTGCAGTGGCACAACCTTGGCTCACTGTAGCCTCAACCTTCCAGGCTAAAGTGATCCTCCCACCTCAGCCTCCTGGGTAGCTGGGACTACAGGCATGCCACCACACCTGGCTAATTAAAAAATTTTTTTTGCAGAGATGGGGTTTTACCATGTTGCCCACGATGGTCTTGAATTCCTGGGCTTAAGTGATCCGCCCACCTTGGCCTCCCAAAGTTCTGGGATTACAGATGTGAGCCACTGCGCCCGGCCAAACCACAGTTTTAATTTTACAGATTTTAAGTCAATACATGGTTAGATGATCCTTTACCAGGAAAAATGTAAAATTCCTGCAAAGAGCAGGAAACTGGATGAGATAATATCAACTACCCTTTTCATCTGCTTACCACTTAATAGTTTACAAAGCACATTCTCATTTGATGCTTCTGATAATTAGAAAGTAGCAGAGGGAGTGTTTTACAGATGAGAAGAGTCTTTAAGCTGGTTCTTTCCACCATATTATGCTGACTTCCAAGAGATCAATGATCTGTTAGTCCCTTCCCATTATGAGAGTCTATCACTAAAAAAGGACTCAGTTCCAGCATTCCACAGAAGGTATCAGAGTATTCCCTAGGGGCCTTATGGCCTCATCTGGCTCCTGTGGATAGGCCTTGTTGGCCACAGCAGATTGCACACCCAAGACAAGAATCAGTCTATTTCTTTACTCCTCCCATGGAGCTCTATGTTTCAAGGTAGGTATGTGGTCCCAATGACCAATTAATTAGATGAGTTGAGATTACGACTAAAGCTGAAGTGGGAAGCACAGTGTATGCTGGGGGAGTTACCATTCAGCAATGCTTCTGTGGATCCGGGACACCGAGGTCTCAATATCAATCGGGTGGTATCGTAATCCTCTCAGCTCCAGTGTTTCATCCAGCGCTCCCACCACATACAATGCATCATGACGCTCTGACAGAAAGAAAAAGAGAGAAATGTGGTTCGGACATATACTGAGTGTAACATAACACTGGAGTCCAGAGCACAGGGGTCAGACTGCCTGTCACCTGGCTCTGCCCCTACCAGCTGTGCAACTCTGGGCAAATTCCTTAAGGCTCTGAATCCTACTGCCCTTCTGTGAGATGGGAATAATAATCAATGGCTGCTGTGACGATTTGTGAGTCAATCCATGCACAGTAGTTAATATGGTATGTGGTATATTGTAAATGATACCAGAAATTAGCTATTATTATTACTACATGTTAGGAACTGTGTTATGTGCTGGGGAGACAAAGCTGACAAAACCCAATTCCTGCGCTGAAGATTCTTACAGCTGAGGCAGGGGAAAAGATACACAAAGAGGCATTCCGTTGTAATGTAGCAAGCCCAGCGACAGGAGTGTGCATGAGTTTCGGAGGGGCAGAGGACATCACTGAGTCCAGCTCAAAGGGTCAAGGAAGGCTCCTGGAAAAGCTGAGGGCAGAGCTGAGCTTTTAAGGACAAACAGGACTCAGCCAGAGGGGAGGGGAGGAGGAAAGAGAGGAGTTGAGAAGGAGAGGAGATGAACGAGTGTCATTCCTTCTAGGGAGCTTCATGGAATACAGATATAAAGATGAGGGTTGTAGAACATAGGGGAAACTAGTCCTCGTTTCTAACAGGCTTGTAATCCAGCTAGGATACAGAAGGAAGATGATTTTGCAGTAATTTCTGGAAAAAGGCAGATTTCTGAAAAAATTCAGCAAAACAAAGTGATTTAAGCTGTTGGAGTGAAAAGGATCAGGAGGTCCAGCAGAGGCTCCCATCACCTGGTGAGCTCATGAAGACTGATGACAAAAACAACAGAAACACAGCAGTGAATGACTAATGGGTGCTTCCTGTGTGCCAGGCACCATTCTTGGCATCTAAATGCATCACGTCCTTTAATCTCACATCATTTCCATGAGGCAAGAAACATAGTCATCCCCATTTTCTAAGTAGGAAACAGAGGCTAAGTGATTGCTCAAGGTCACCCAGCAAATGCAGAAGTGGGCTTAAAACCAGGGCACCAGGCAGGGATACCACCCTCTGCTCCACTGGGTTGCCCCTGCCTCTCCATGAAATCTGGGGAACTATGGACGCTGGTCAGTATGGAACTATGGAGAATTTAGGCCTTTAAAATCCAGCAGGTTATATATATATCACTTCTTCAAGTGCAGGATATAGTCAGTGTTGGGTATTTTTAAATGGCTGTAAGTGCCAGTCTGGAAGAAAGGGTGATGGCGGGCAGCAGTGAAGCCGTGACAATCAACTGGGCAGAGGGTGACGGGAGGGAATTCTTACACCGGAGGCTTGGCCAGGAAGCAGGCAGTGTCCAATGCAAGACACGGAGGCACTGCCATACCTCAGCAAGATGGCTCCTTGGAACTGATGCCCCTCTCAGGGAATAGGGCCGTTCCTCCTGCTCCCCAAGTGGTGTGCAGGGTAGAAGAGATACAAGATGTAATGCTTGTCCTGGGTGGGGAATCAGCCCCGTAGGGACTGAATGTCTGTGTTTAGCCAGGGACGCTCATTCACCATCAGGCACATCTCTCTGACTCACAGCTCGGGATGATCCTGGGCTCGCCCCAAGCGCTCACCTCTTAGACACTCTTCATGGGGCAAAGCATGACTTCGAATGAAGAGAGAGTCACTTATGGGTTTAAGAGTCACAGAAGGGAGTAACTAGATACACACACTCCACAATCCAAGGCAGGCTGAAGGAGGTCAGCTAGTGCTACAGAAACACAAAGCAGGGTCAATGGGGAGGAGTAGTTGCACAAGTACCTCCAGTGGCCGCTGTGAGCTCAGTCCGGCGGACAAAACCAAGGTATCCTGTCCGAGCCCAGAGTGTCTGAGCCACATCTCCAAAGCTGAGGCGAGTGTTGAAATGATCAGCTTGAAGAGTCTCACTATCATAGATGGTGTAGTAGCCGCTGGCTGTATGGGGACTGTTCACCCAAATCTACAAGAAAAGTGCTTTGGTCACAACTCACTGGGGACACACAACTGTATTCATTCTCTTGGATCAGGTGATTTGATTTTTTTAATCTCATTTTTATATTAACAACACCACAACTGCATCAATAAAGGCAGCTGACATTTACCAGGTGCTCATCATGTACCTAACCTCCATCCATCCAGATATATATGACATGACAACATAGTTCACACAATGTTGTTCCCATTTTACGGATGAAAAAACAAGGAGTTAACTAATTCACCTAACATGCAGAAATGAGGAGACTGGCACCCATGCTCTTGTGGCTCCCGAGGCTGTGCTCTCACCCACAAGGCTACCCTGCCTCCCTGGCTCATTTCTCACCCTCCTCCAGAGTCCCACGAACACATCAGGGATCATTTCTGTGCTTCTGGGGCAACTGTGGAAGCCCACGGGGAAACACCAGGGGGTGTCTGAGTTTATAATATAAACAGCAATAGCTAACAATGATGTTACTGAGAATCATTATGTGACAGACACTGTTCCATGTACATTACAGATACAGGCGTTAATACATTTAATTGTATAATGATTCTACTCAGGAGGTGAGGTAGGTGCTACTATTAACATTTAAAGCTTTTTAAAATAGGCTGGGCGTGGTGTAATCCCAACACTTTGGGAGGCCAAGGTGGGTGGATCACTTGAGGTCAGGAGTTCAAGACCAGCCTGGCCAACATGGTGAAACCC